GGTCTGCAAAATATTGGCTTGGTGGGCATAAAATAAAAATTTAGGCCTGCTAAAGCAGACTGTTTCCAAACTGCTGTGAGGACAGGAAAAAAATACTGCCCAATGGAGAGGCAGGTGAGCTTACACTTAAATGGCCACTGGAGTGATAATAAAAAAAACTCCAATTATTTAAATATGCATAGGGATTTAGGATACCACACAGGTAACTTTTTCTTTGGTTTTTAATGTATGTATTGAGGCTGATGTGCACTATAGTCAATGCTGCCGCCCAAGAGTAGTGGGAATTTGAGTGATAGATTTAATTTTTATGTTTGTATCTATTTATAACAATTTCAGATTTCTATTTCCTGCATTTTCTGCTTTGAGTGGAGGAGTTAACCCATAGTAAATGCTGCCTTGTTTGATGAGGAAATGATTACATAGATATAAAAGTAAATAATTGTCAGGAAACATGCTCTGACTGACACTGGTGTCACTTGAACCCGTTTTTTCAATTTTCTACGGCTGTAGTTAAAGGGACACTATAATCACCAAAACAACTTAAACCTCTGATATTTTGCTGCTCAATTGACTGCCATTTAGGAGTTAATTTACTTTTGTTTATGTCTATGAAGCCCTAGCCACGCCTCTCCTGGCTGTGACTGACACAGCCTGCATGAAAACAAAATAGTTTAATTTTCAATCATACGTTACTTACTTTAACCCCTTAAGGACGGAGCCAAATGTACACGTTGTGAACGAAACAAAATGTAAACAAAACCTGACATTTGCGCTACATGTCTGTCCACCCATAATTCACCTCTTTCATATTAAATGCACCCACCCTTATTATATATCATTTTATTCAGGGGAAACAGGGCTTTCATTTAATATCAAACATTTAGCTATGAAACATAATTTAATATGAAAAAAATGGGAGAAAATAAGATTTTTTTGGATTTTTTTAGTTCTTCATGACATTTTAACTGTCAATGTCATAATACTGTTTGCTTTTACTGCAATAAAATACACATATTTGTATTCAGCAAAGTCTCACGTGTAAAACAGTACCCCCTGTGTACAGGTTTTATGGCGTTTTGGGAAGTTACAGGGTCAAATATAACACGTTACATTTGAAATTGAAATTCGCCAGATTGGTTAAGTTGCCTTTGAGACTGTATAGTAGCCCAGGAATGAAATTTACACCCATAATGGCATACCATTTGCAATAGTAGACAACCCAAGGTATTGCAAATGGGGTGTGTCCAGTCTTTTTTAGTAGCCATTTGGTCACAAACACTGGCCAAAGTTAGCATGACTGGTGTATAGTCACCATATGGGCAGTCGGAACCTTGGACAACAACCTCCCCACATACCTTTCCCCAATAACACGCTGACACTAGGGTATATGGGTCAAATTGTCCACAGCTTTATTACTAGATATAACAATCATAATAACGATACTAATAATTTAACATATATATAAAACATGGGTCATTGCCCCCATACTCCGCCCTCGCATCTATACCTTCATTAATATCAAGGCAATGACCCAACATAAGCAACACATAAATATATATATATATATATATATAATGCTTTAACCTTACTCCAACATGAACCAATTTTAAATGCCAACCATAAGTAACCACGGCAGGGGTATACCTGGATACCCCTACCCCACCAGGTTCTGAGCCACCTCCAGGACTCGAAACCCACCATCCACCAGTGACCACAATTCTTCATGTTCCTCACGTTCCTCATGGGGAGCCTATTTTTGTCTTCCTTAGCTCTCTATCCCGCCGCTGTGACAAAACGGGATAATACAGAAACAACCCATGCTAGGGAGGGAGGGTGGGACAAACACAGCTAGGCAGAAAATTAATGTGCACATTTTAAAATGGCTGCCTATTAAATAGCCAGCCCCATCCCATAATCCCACAGTCCTGCCCGGTCCCTCCTATGCCCGCCTCCTAACCCCTGTCAAGGCCCTTTTCCGCTAAGCTGCGCTCTGGCTACATGGGGCTACATGACTGGTGTATAGTCGCCATATGGGCAGTCGGAACCTTGGACAACAACCTCCCCACATACCTTTCCCCAATAACACGCTGACACTAGGGTATATGGGTCAAATTGTCCACAGCTTTATTACTAGATATAACAATCATAATAACGATACTAATAATTTAACATATATATAAAACATGGGTCATTGCCCCCATACTCCACCCTCGCATCTATACCTTCATTAATATCAAGGCAATGACCCAACATAAGCAACACATAAATATATATATATATAATGCTTTAAACTTACTCCAACATGAACCAATTTTAAATGCCAACCATAAGTAACCACGGCAGGGGTATACCCGGATACCCCTACCCCACCAGGTTCTGAGCCACCTCCAGGACTCGAAACCCACCATCCACCAGTGACCACAATTCTTCATGTTCCTCACGTTCCTCATGGGGAGCCTATTTTTGTCCTCCTTAGCTCTCTATCCCGCCACAAGCTCGGACCTTGACCCCTCAAGCCGTCCGAGCTCCGCCACCCCGAAGAAAGAGAGCCCTCTGCATCCCCTCCTGCAAACCCAAGTTCAGCAAATCCAGACCCACCGCTGAGAGGTGAACGCCATCCGAGTGGTAATAACCCGGCAACCCGCCTTCCAATTCTACGTGCCTCACTACCACGCCCCCCAATTTCCTCACGAAGCTTGCCATCAAGCTGTTAACTTTTCCCCTGCATCTGTTGATGGCCACCGGATCCCGTGCGTGCCGCCACCGACGCCTTGGAACGATCTCGGACCACACCAGCATCACCCCAGGAAGCAGATCGAACAATCTATTTAGGTCCTGCTTCATCCATTTAACTAACCTACGTTGCGGAATGAGGCCTAGGTCATTGCCCCCCGCGTGAAGAACCATCATATCCGGCCTCGCCCCGCCTGCCACCATCCAAATTATCACCCCGCACACGTCGCCCCAGCCAAATCCCTTAAATCCTAACCATCGTACTGCTAGTTGGTCTTTCGGGAAGCCCACCTGTTGGCCCTGGGCTCGAGCTGCAGCTCTCCGTCCGGCCCAGACGATGAAGGAATGGCCCACAATCCACGTGACATAGCCTGGGGAAGAAGGAAAACAACGTAAAACACCCATACCCAGACCGGGCCCCCCCCTTCCTTTACGGCCCGCATTACTGAACCAATAAACCCAAGCGTACATACGTGCGGAACCAAGCAGATTCCCATCTCCCAATCCTCATAACTAACTCGTCCCCCATGCCCAGGCGCGCGGCCTCAGTGGCCGCCCCTATGCGAAAGGAATGAGTCCCATAGACAGCAGCACTCAACCCCAACGCCCCCAGGCCTGATCGGAACACCTTAGTAAATTGAAAATGAGAGAGCGAGGAGCCATCGGCATGAACCAATAAAGACCCCCCAACTGCCGGTCTCAGTTCCAAGAACCAAGCCACCGCCGCCACCGGGCACAGCGATGACCCGGGCAGGGGACCCAGCGTCACATCCCGGCCCTTACCCATGACGTCCGTCTTGGACATAGCCAGGTATACTACCAGGTTCCCTGCGAGCACGCGAACACTGGATACCTGCAGACCCCCCGACGCTGACCGGGAAGCACTCACCAATTCCCCTATCCTGAACGCCCCGAAGAAGGCCAAGAGAAATGCTGCCCTGAACAGGGCTACCTCAAACCCGTCGAAGCAGATTCCGGGCAGCACTCGGAGTAAGTCTCCAAGCACCCGCACCGATACCGGGCGCCTAGCATCAGGTGACCTCCGCACCTTCCGATACCCTTTGAGTGCTTGCCTAATGACAAACGCTTTTGTGAGGTCCTCCCAGCCGTGGAATTTAAACCAAAAGGCCATCGCCACCATGGTCCTGTCAACCATTGCGGGGGACACACTTTTTGCCAGCAAATGAAAGGTGAACCACAGGAAGGCGTCCTGCAACGATTCCACCTGCTGCCCCTGGCCCAGCCCTTCCCAGGAACGTTCCCAGGCACCCCAAACCTTACTGTATGCGGTCCAGGTGGCTGGTGCCAGCGAAGCCCTCACAAGTCCCCCAAGCATGATTCTCTGAGCTGCCACATTTCATCCGGGCACGCCTGCCCTGTCTCCTGAGCCTCCGGAGCCGCCGCCCGGAACCGGAACCACTGAAAGCGAGACAGAGCATCAGCCACTTCGTTCAAATACCCGGGCACGTGACGCGCGCAAAAAACTACATTAAGGGACATGCACAGCAAAACAAATCGCCGCAATAGCTTCACCACCGGTTTGGATGCCGCCGACTGGTTATTGACGGCATGCACCACCGACATGTTGTCCGAGAAAAAGACCACCTTCCGGTCCCGAAGCCGATCCCCCCATAGGGCCAACGCCACCACCAACGGGAACAGCTCCAGAAAAGCCAAGTTCCGTATGAGGGGGCTTCACCCCCACGCCTCCGGCCACCTCTGTGCACACCATCTCCCCCCGAAGTAGGCCCCAAAACCCACGCTACCCGATGCATCGGTGAACAGCTCCAATTCGGCTGTAGACACAACCTCCTGACGGAAGAACACCGTCCCGTTAAAGTCTCGCAAAAAGACATACCATACGTCCAAGTCAGCCCTCATCGAGGAAGAGACCCGAACGAAATGGTGTGGAGAACTGATCCCCGCAGTGGCTGCCGACAGGCTGCGGCTGAACACCCTACCCATAGGTATCACCCTGCAGGCGAAATTGAGCATCCCGATCAGCGATTGTAGCTGCCGCAGGGTCACCTTACGTGCCCTGCGCAGTCCCCCCAACTTAGCCAGAGGCAGCCGACATTCCCCAAGCACCGAGTCTATCTCCAAATCCAAGAAGCTGAGGCACTCGGTCGGGCCCTCCGTCTTATCCACTGCCAACGGCACCCCGAAGTGGCCCGCCACCCACTCAACGGTCCGCAACAGGTGCCGGCACGCGGGGGAACCTGCCGGCCCCACGCAGAGGAAGTCGTCCAAATAATGCACCACCGCTTCGTTCCCCAACTCCACCCGCACTACCCATTCGAGAAAGGTACTGAACTTCTCAAAATAGGAGCACGAAATGGAGCAGCCCATCGGGAGACATAAGTCCACGAAGTAACCCCCTTCGAAGAAGCACCCCAGTAGGTGGTGACAAGCCGGATGAACCGGAAGCAATCGAAAAGCAGCTTCGATATCCACCTTGGCCAGTAAAGCCCCGCGCCCGGCCCTCTTAACCAGCTCGACCGCTTGGTCGAATGATGCATAAGAGACCGAGCACAAGTCCCCATCGATATCGTCATTCACCGACGCTCCCCTAGGATAGGACAGGTGGTGAATGAGCCGAAACTTCCCGATCTCCTTCTTGGGAACCACCCCTAGTGGTGAAACCCTAAGGCCCTCCAGCGGCGGTGCTGAGAACGGACCCGCCATCCTGCCCAACCGTACCTCCTTGCTAAGCTTCTCCCGGACCACATCCGGAAATTCCCCCACCGACTTAAGATTACGCGGACAAACCGAACCCCCCCTCGCCCGGAAGGGGATGAAGAACCCCTGTCCAAACCCCGACCTGAGCAGCTCCGCGTCCACCCTATTACCGTAGCGGCTTAGCCAAGGCTCCATCGCGGCGAGCCCGTGGGTCCCACCACAGCCCGCGCACTCATGTTTAAAGCGGCAGGCCGCCCCCCACTTGCACTGACCTTCATTGAACGACCAACATAAGCCCTTCTGCAAGGCGGCCGACGAGGCGGACTGCCCCTTTGCGCCAGCCGCGTGCTGAAAGGGCTGGGCCTTCTGCGCCATCATCAGCTTCATCCAGAGGGGCAGGTCCATTTGGTCCCACCTCATCCCCGGATTGGCTGCCAAGCGCTGCCGGAACTGCTCATCGTACCGCCACCATGCCAGCCCGCCATAGGTGCGAAATGCTTCCCAGATCCCGTCCAAGTAACAGAATAGGGAAGAGCAAGAACTCGGCGATTTTTCCCCTATCACACTGGCCAGGACGCAGAACGCCCTCAGCCAGTTCCCGAAGGACTTCGGTATCTTCCGATACCGCTTCCGCTTTTCCTCCTCCTCCTTCTTTTCGTCTTTCTTATCCTCCTCCTTGAGGTCAATGAAGTCCTCCAGAGGAAGAAGGGAGAATATCTCACAGAACTCCTCCTTCCAAATTTTTTCTTTCGCCTCCTGCTTGAGGTGCACCCCCAGCGGGCCCACGAATGACACGTAAGCATGCTGCCTTGCACTCCCCCAGATAATTCCGCCCGCTCACACCCTGCCTCCCCTGGGCTGGACTCCGCACCCGCCTCCCCGCCGGGCGCAGTTACCACGGGAGCCCCGCTACCATGCCCTGCATCACTGGACCCTTGCGTCCATACCCGACCTACGTCGCCCGAAGTACCACCCCCCGCCCCCAATGAGTGGAGCAGTGACTGTAGTGTCTGTACTAGTGTATTGGACCCTAGGGCCCCTCTGGACTCACCGGCCAAGCCCCTCGATCCGTCCGTACCCGGGGCTGCGTTGTCAACCGCTGCGTGACCTGGATGCGCAACATCCGCCGACGTCCCGCCAACCAGGGAGCCCACCTGGTGCCTTGACAACGTGGAAGATGAGCGGCTTGGAGATCTGAAATGAGGAGAAGACATCCTGGGCGGGGGGTAGTGCTCCCCGCCCCCCCTCCCGTCCCGACCCAGGGAGCGCCTGCCTGCCACCAAGGCCTCCCGCCGTGCGCCACTCTCCCGCTGCCCCCCATGAGCCCGTTCCACCCCACCCCGAGGACTCCGACTCCTACCCTCAACCCTCGCCGCCCTCCCCGCTCGCCTCCGCCCCAAGGACCCTGACCTAGCCTCCACTGAACTGCCTGATGGAGAGCGCCTGCGCCGAGCCCCCCCCGGGCCCTGAGGGACCCAGCGTCCCTCACAGGTGAAGAACTAACGCTGCTAGACCCCGACCCGGAGCTGTCACCAGGCCCACCACCCTCCAGCCCACTAGACCCGGCCTCAGAACCAGCATAGCCCCCCCCGCCCCTGCGCCCCCGCGCCCACGGGAGTGGCCCCTAGACTCCCCCCGACCCCTATGCTCCACCGCCCGCTGACTGGCCCCATCCCTACCAACCCTAACACCTTCCTCCCCCACCCGACCAGCAGACCTCCCAGGGACTCCATGGGAACCACCTGATGCCCCCAACAGCCCTACTGCAGAGCCCCCCCCACCCCCCCTCTCTGTGGCCCTGAGAGCTACCCTGCACCCCTCCAGATGGTCCCCCCCCAGACACCCGAGCCCCACTACTCCCCCCCTAGCCGCAGGCACACTACCCCCAGGCCGCGCCCCCAAGCTGGCCCCCACGCCAAGGGGGCCCCCGCAGGTCCCGGCGCTGCCCCGACCGGTCCAGGGGGCGCGCCGTCCTCCGCCAGGGCCACAGCCCGTCGAGAGCCCGCCCACCGAGGCCCTGGCCGGCCGCCGGGAGACGGTGCCTCGACCGCGCGGCCTCCAGGCCTGCCGCGGCCTCTCTCCACCGCCACATCACCGCTGGTAGTGGGAGTCACGGGCCCCGCGCCCGGACTTAAACGCCGTGGGGGCCTCCTGGCCCGAGCCGGGCGACCGCCTCCTCCATCTGCCGCTGCCAGGAGAGGCCCCAGGTGCATCCTCGCCCAGCCAGGGCCCTGTTGCCGCGCCGCCGTCCGAATCCCCTCCAGGAGCTGCTCCACTTCTTCCATGGCCCTGCAGAGGAGACAAAAAGGAAAACCCTACCTAGCAGGTCTGTGAGTACCCAGAGGCAACCACAAACACAGCTAGGCAGAAAATTAATGTGCACATTTTAAAATGGCTGCCTATTAAATAGCCAGCCCATCCCATAATCCCACAGTCCTGCCCGGTCCCTCCTATGCCCGCCTCCTAACCCCTGTCAAGGCCCTTTTCCGCTAAGCTGTGCTCTGGCTACATGGGGCTACATTAGTATTTGTTTGTGTGTGAAAAAAAAGTGGCTACTAAAAAAGACTGGACATACCACGTTTGCAATACCTTGGGTTGTCTACTATTGCAAATGGTATGCCATCATAGGGGTAATTTTCATTCTTGGGCTACCATAGGGTCTCAAAGGCAACGTAACCAATCTGGCGAATTTTAATGTGAAAAAAATGAAACGCAAGCCTTATATTTGCGCTGTAACTTTTGAAAACACCATAAAACCTGTACATGAGGGGTACTGTTGTACTCGGGAGACTTCGCTGAACACAAATATTTGTGTTTCAAAACAGTAAAAAGTATCACAGCAATAATATCGTCCGTGTAAGTGCTGTTTGTGCATGAAAAATGCAAAAAAAGTCACTTTTACTGGCGATATCATCGTTGTAATACATTTTACTGTTTTGAAACACTAATATTTGTGTTCAGCGAAGTCTCCCGAGTAGAACAGTACCCCCCATGTACAGGTTTTATGGTGTCTTGGAAAGTTATAGGGTTAAATATAGTGCTAGCAAATTAAATTCCCTTTACTTTTGGCATGGGTTGTCAGGCAGGTCCCGCTAATTGTAATTAATTAAGATACCCAATTATGTAAAAATATTACATAAATATATATGTAGAATTAATATATGTATATATACGTATGTGAATATATATGTGTATATATATATATATATATATATATAATTTTTAAAAAATATTTTTATTTATATACATGTATATATATAGTGATATATAAGTATATATATTTATGTATATAGATATATATATTATTTCGTTCTACGTGTTTTTTGATATAAATATATATATATATATTAATATCACAATACAGTTAGAACGAAATAACACACATCTATATATTTTTTTATTTTTTTTTTATTGTTTTTTATTTTATTTTTTTACGTATTTGCATATTTAATTTTTTTATATTATATATAAATATATATAACAATAATTATATAAATATTTAATCAGTATCAGTCTACGTGTAATTTGATATTAATATATATATAATTATATATTAATAGTAAAATACACCTAGACAGTGTATGTGTGTGTATGTATATGTGTATATATATACTTAGATCATATATATATATATATATATATATATATATATATGATCTAAGTATATATTATTATTTTTTTACACTTATTAATTTATTTTATTTTTATTTTCAGCCAGCAGGGGGACCACCTGTCATTACAGGCAGCCCCCTTGCTGGCAATACAGCAGGCAGCCTACCCGGCCATGTGATTGTGAGGTCCTCGCAAGGACCTCACTCTCACATGGCCGGGGGGCACCGGAGGAGGAGGAACTACCGCGGAGGGGCTCCCTGGGAGTCCCCCCCACTGCGATCGCCGGCGTGGGACCGCCGGCGACCGGATAAGTAAGGAAAGAACGAAAGGCGTACAATTACGCCCGGCGGCGTTTAGAGCCGCCTAAAATAGGGCGTAATTGTACGCCCTCCGGTCTTAAGGGGTTAAAAGTTTCCGCCTCTGTATAGCACACTTTAATTACACACATGAGGCTCCTGTAAGGTCTAGCACACTATTAACAGCTTAAGAGATTCTAAATTAAACAGAATTTGCAATAAATTAAGTGTTATCATTAGATATATATTTACAGGAAGTGTTTAGGAAGGCTGTGCAAGTCAGATGGAGGGAGGTTTGGCTAGGGAGCATAATCAAAGTGATTTAATTCCTAAGTGACACTGAGACTGCAGAAGCATAATCTGTACACTAAAACTGCTTAACTATGCTAAAGTTGCTTTGGTTACTACAGTGCCCCCTTAATGTCTCATTTCTGGAGGAATTTTTGTGGTGGATAGCATATCAGACTGCCCTCATCTTGCTGAGGTTTCTCTGACTGATCCTGATATTTAATAAAAGGCTCAGAAAAGGTAACTGTCCAATCAGCCTCTGCAGCAATTCACACTCTACAATATGGCACCGGTCAAGCAACATAAAATATTGGAAATCATTTTCGTTATACACTCCGATACTCAACAACCTTGCTTGTGACCTTCTTACAAAACAAAAACACTTTTACCTTACACTTACTTTGACCAGTTCAAATATTAATACTTGCTAGATCTAAGGAACCCTCTTAGTTTTAAATCTTATTTTAGTGGTTATGAACCACTGCGTCAGCAGTTAGGAAGCTGGGGTATTTTTTTTATTTTTATATTGAGTCTTTTTACCCTTACTATACCAAAACATAATGGTTGTTTGTTTATTTTTATTCTTGTTTTCTATGTTGAAAAATCTACTAGGTGTGTGTTTTTTGAAGTTAGCATTTATGTGTCTTTGCAAGTAACACAAGGCTGCTTGTTTTACACTACAGCATGACAGAATATAGTCTCTGATGTGAGTTTTTCTACATTATATATATATATATACTTGATACCGTATTATACATGTAGAGGTTTACAACATTTGGTTGTGGTGTGCCAAAACTGACGTATTGTTAGACCTGTAAATAAAGTGGGCAAAAAGAATGTATGCCAAAAAAAATACTTTATTCAATCAGCAATCACATTGCTACAACATAGAATATGAAAATGCTAAATGTGGGAATGCTTGTTTCCTTCTCTGGTTGAGGAATGTATCTACAGTAGGCTGTAGATTTCCAGCACCCCAATGATTTTATAATATGGGTAGGGATGTTCCTGTGGTAGGCTGCCGAGGCTGCACCTATCCTGAAGGAGTGTCTGGAATAGTGTGGAATAGGATTCTTACGTAAAGCATAAATTTGCCTGCAGTGAGAATGGCCCCCTGTAAGGTAAGTAAAGGTTGATTTGAAGGTGATTGTAAGTTGTGTAGATATATATCTAGTGTCTTTACTGGACACCATTAGTTAAATGTGGGGTAATAATTAACTTTTACTGTTCGACCTGGTTGACTGGTCTTGGTATGTTGCAGAGAGAGTACGTAGTGGTCTTCCTGTTTGCTGTTATGTGATATCTTGAGGCATTACCTTAATTCAGAAGTGTTGATGGTAGTGAACTCCCTGGGTCTAAGGAACCTGTTAAAAACTAAGTATATAGCAGCTTTTAAGGTTTGATTAGTCTTTGGTTCGAATGGTGACTTATCCAAAAGGTCTGATAGAGACCTGAACAAGCTCCCATTGATTGGTAATCTCTGTTTTGTTTGTGGTGTACTACACCTCTGGATTCCCTTTAACACGGTCTTAATTTGACAAGATGATAAAAAGGTTTGTTTGTTTGGAAATAGTGTAAGCATGTGGTGTTGTAACCCTGTGAGATAAAGTTTGATCGTGTTGAAGGATAGATGTGATTTGAGGTGCCAAAAAAAGTGAAAGTTGCTAAAGATTCCATCGTGAAAATATCTACTACATGGAATTTCCTAGTAAATCTCACAAAAATATTGAAATCCCTGTTGTATGACCGTCTGGTGTTTTCTGACAAAGCGCACCATGACAGCATTCTGCCATGAGCTAGGAGTTGGCCGAATACAAGATGAGGTCTTGAAATTGAGGTGCCGGAGCTGCCATTGGTGAGGCATTGGGGTGTAGTTGGAGAAATTCCTGAAAACGGAAGCGGGACAAATGGTCAGCAGCCGTGTTGTGAATACCAGGAACATGTGTACAACATATGAAGAATTGATAAGTCGCTGCTAGCCAAGTTAAGCTTCTAACAAAACTCATGATAACGAGAGAAGGGGAGCAGCCTTTATTAATGATATGACAAGTCACCTGATTGTCAGAAAAACATTGAACAGTTTGCTGCCACGGCCACAAAAGGATAAATTTCAAATAATGCAGAGGTCAGATAAAAGGCCTCCAATGCTTTGGTTTCGGGCAGCCAACAGCCCCATAACCATCGGTCTCCACAAATTGCTGCAAAGCCGATAAAAGCCACGGCATCTGACCAGAGCATTGGGGAATTGTCGGAAAATGGAGGAATGTACATGAATTCCCATTTCCTTGATATAAAAATTTCTGCCACATCCGCAAATCTGCTGTGGCAGATACCAGCAGGAACCCATCAGAAAACCCTGAAACCAAGAAATCCACTAATTGCGGAGATGATTGTGATGCTAACAGCTGAGACAACTTAATAATGTTAACAGATGTGAAATACTGTTTGGAATGTAGTTTATTGGGGCACATTGTTTTGGAATGTGCTCGGAAACATAGCATACAGATATGCAATAACCTACAGATACTGAACCCACAAGCACAGGCACAAGCATGTAATAAAATTATTACATATATGGGATTTGCCAAGTAACACATTTGGTCTGCCAAGTTTATCCTTTATGACTTTCTCTGACCTAGCTGGTAAACCAGGGTTTTGTAGGCCCGAAACAGAGGCATCATTAGGACAGAGATTTGTTGTGTGGGAGGTTGAGGAACACAAAGTACAGGCTGGAGTCCTGAGGCCAGCGAAATGCCTACTGAACAACTCTGTATCCAGTTTACTCCAGTTAACAACCATATTAAACTGGTTCAGACTTGCTGCTGCTTTAGCCGAAAATGGCCTATGATAGTCATAGAAGGCATATCTGCCGTATTTGTGCCTCAGGTCCACCAGCTTATGCATATAATTATCTAATTTCTTTCTCCTCCGTGGCAAGTTAGTATATACCACATCTCTATAGATCCTAAACGCCAGTACAAATTTGGGAATGGTCAGTTTTTTAACGAGTCTGGGATCTCTAGCCTTGAGGACTACCGATAGGTCCCCATAAGCATACATTTTATTCTCTACGATATCCTGGGAAGCAATCAGAAGTGAGACCAAATTTACATCTTTACCTTCCAGGATATCTTTGCGGAATTGAGGAGGCACCATATGTGCTGGTGTAATCATGAGTGTATCAATCGGGTATATAGGGACAACTACATTACCCTGTAAAATAGCCATAGCAGCTGCTAGAGATGTAGCATCAGACAATGTTGGGTTTGTTGCCAAGTGGCCAGATTCTAATCTGTCAATCCTATCTCTAATTTGGCCCATGGATGATAGAAGAGAATTCATCATTGTCTGTAAGTCAGGCATGTTGATGTTCCCGCTAGACGTTTCCCCTGTGCCAGAGTTGTTGGTGTGTGTCTGCATTAATCTAAATAATTCTGCTTTCCTGGAGGTAGCCTGGAATGGAATGCTTCTTTTTCTAAGTTCGACTTGAATGCGTGGTATAGTCCAAGATCTGATAGATGAAGGACTGGCCGATACACATATCCCAGATGGTGAACCCGACCTAGCTGGGGTGTTAAGGAGTGAAAGCTCATCTCCCCCTTCCGGAACTTGTGACATACTAAAATGAGAATTGAAATTAGGATCTCGTCTCCAGGGTACTGTCTGCTAAATAGTGCCAAGTGGCGAAAACATTCACTAAGTGGTGACAGGTGAGGCCTTACTAATGCCAAGCGGCTTGAGAAGCTCTATCTATGAGTTGGACCGAGGGCCTATTTACCACGGAACGTAGTGGTAGGATGTTGGCCTCTCTGTGACATTAAGAGAAAAATAGAATTGGGTGTGACAAGTGAGGCCCTCTCTATGTAACTTGCGAGGCAGCTAGCTATGCGTTGGACTGAGGGCCGAATACTTCTGAGTATGAGGATGGGTGTTGGCCTCGCAGGAGGACTAGTATGAGGCATAGGAGGCCTTAGAAAGCTAAATATGGAACCTATTTTCCTGACAGCCAGAAATTTCTTTAGTCTAAAGGGCTGATATAAACAGGAAAGTTTGAATATAAGTTAATGGGGAAACATACCTGTATGAACTGAATTTGGATTTGTATGCCAAAGGTTTCAAGGTTCAGTAGTTAGTAGTGCACCCACAGATATGTGGAAGGGAGACTCATGTCTGAGTCAAAATGAACCGTAACACAACAGTATCTCAAAGGAGTAACAGGCCTACCTGGGCAATTAGACAGAACCCCAATATGGAAGCTTTGGATTCTCGGTACAAGGCCTATCAAATTGTAGTATCAGATATGTGGACAACGTCAGTGAGAAGCACATTAGAATTTTTAATATACACCTTCTCCGTGAAGCTTTTATCTCTATCTGTCTGCGTTATAGCGCATGTTAATTCTACTATTAGACTGTATGCTTGGCTCTTGTTTGCACGCCACTTCCTAGGCTGAAATTTTAAACGGATAAATATAAAGTTACTGAAGATTCTTTCAGTAACAGATTTAACCAGTTTTGTATCTTCCTCCCGGTCAGCCTATTATACGAATGAGTCAGTACATACTCATAGCCATCCAAGCCTCTATTCTCTCCCGGCAAAATACAGAATAAGCAGACTGTCATAAGACTGAAGGCACAGCCTTCATGAGTATATTGCATATTAATATCCTAAAACCGTTTTTAGCAAGATCTGTAGCACAAAATGGGTTTAATAAAATAGGCACTTACTAGGAATACTAGAATTTCACTGCATTGGAATCTAGGTAAATTGTACCTCTTTCTCCATCTAGACTGCTACATCAATATGCTCAGATAATTTACCCTCCTACTTGTAATCCTCAGAGCTGGTGCTGTACTAGCACAGCACACACTATTATACTTAATAGAACTGAACATCCTGGTTTTATATTTAATTTTTTATTTTTACTTCTACACAATTTTTTTGTTCATTTATATTAACTGCAACATTAAAAGTTAAGTTTTAGAACAACTATATGCTATAGCAATAAAGACTCCACTTTGATACCACTTACAAATTTATCTCCTTGGAGACACCTGCTGGTAGTATCAGATTTTGTTTTTCTTCCCCCTTTTCTTTAGCATTTTTTCATCTCATAGTCGACAACGAGAGTCTACAAATATCATAACGAGACATTCCGTGAGACATTGTATGCAAGTCTGAGTAGTGACAGCAGGTGGTCTGAAGTCCATTGTAATTATCAGTATAAGCGTAATTAATATGTAATAAGTCAAATCAAATGCCTTCCAATAGGATCTAGTTAAGCTCAGAATAACCCACAATCTAATTGTGTAAAGACTGTAGTGTCATTTGTGAAGTGTTACAACAATCATACCAGTATTGTCAACGTGATGCTTAAACTTATACCGTAAAATATACAAGTAGAGGTAGCCAACCACAAGTGCTAGGGTAACATTGTATATACGAGTAATATCTTTAGTAGAGTAGAGGAAGGGGGGTAATCTGAAGCAAGTTGATTATGATCAGCATAGAAGTGACATGCTGTATGATCCTTATAGTTACCTGTTATACTGTGACCTGACTCAGTAACCGGGAAGTTTGCATACCGGTAGGGAGGGGAAAAAGGAGTGTCTACACCAACAACAACATGTAGAGTCAGACCTATATCTTAAAGGGACACTATAGTGACCAGAACAGCTACAACTTATTGAATTTGTTCTGGTGAGTAGAATCATTACTTTCCGGCTTTTTGCTGTGTTTACATTACAGCCTAGTGATAACCTCACTGGCCACTCCTCAGATGGCTGTTAGAGATCCTTCCTGGGTCATGGCTGCCTAAAATGCATCCAAACATTCAGTGTCTCGTCCCTCTGCATGCAGACACTGAACTTCCCTCATAGAGATTCACTGATTCAGTTCATCTCTATGAAGAGATGCTGATTAGCCAGGGCTGTGTTTGAATCATGTGGGCTCTGCCCCTGATCTGCCTCTTTGTCAGTCTCAGCCAATCCTATGGGGAAGCATTGTGATTGGATCAGGCTACCACTCCTGCTGATGTCAGCAGGCAGTGGGCAGGTCTAAAGGAAACAGGGACATTGCATGCAGCTGCAGACTTGAATTCAAGTAAGATTTTACTATTTTATGGAGACATGAGGGGATGAGGGTGGCTAGATGGTGGTTTTAACCCTATAGGGTCAGGAATACATGTTTGTGCTATATAGTGCTCCTTTAATACATACTCCTCCTCATTATGTATACCAACAGCTCTTTAAATAGCTGTAACTAAGGGTAGTCAAGTGAGCCAGTGCAGGCTTGAAATCCACTTACCAATTTAATAAGCAGAAAACACTTGGACTTCTGATTTGGATAATGTTTCACGAAATGCAGACATAAGGCCTGAAGCAACAGACAAGCAGTAAGTACAGGAATTAACAGGAATATGACAGTAAAGTTATAGGAGCAATAGTGTTTATAACAGACCACTAAACCAACTATACTGACTGAACCAACCTCAGTCAGGAAAATAATTCAACATATAAACACTGTAATTTAAACCAATCAATATTGTACAAGGCCACAAGGTGGGGATATTGCCAAATGATCTGGCTGTCTGGCATATATGAAAAGCTGAACCTTGCCTAAATAAGGCGAATATCAATGCCATGAATGAAAGTGCTGAACGGAGCACTAACTAGGGAGATGCCCCTAAATTGGCCCGCATTGATGGTGAGGAGTTAACTAGCGACCCACTTGTTTGCCTAAATGAAAGCCGGAATGCGGCAAGTATCAAAGGGGATCCCTGCACACGCCGCAAACCCTGTGTGTTCGTGGGGGTCTATCTGGCATGTGAACTTGTTGACAGAGAGTCAGAGGGTTCCCTAGCTAATGGTCTGTCAACTCACTGTTAGGCAGGAAGACAGCCTCGTGGAGCAGTTAGGCGTCTGAGAGTTGCAGGACTTCGTGCAGCGATACTCTCTCCCTGGATTAACCCGGAAGTGAAGACATGAAACGGAGCGATACTGAGAAGGAGTCTAGTGCCAATAGGTGAGTTCTTATATCAGCACTAGTCCCTCCCACAACTCCAGGCTCGGCCTTTACATACATATATATATATATATATATATATATATATATATATATACAATTTAGTAGAAGTTTTGCACTCTAGCTTTCCTCCTTGTAATGGCCCGGTGCTCAGCTGCACGAAAATACAACTTCCAAAAGAAATCCAGCACTCAAGGACTTATAGGAAAAATATGAAGCCTTCATATTTTTCGTATAAGTCCTTGAGTGCTGGCTTTCTTTTGGAAGTTATATATATATATATATATATATATATATATATATATTGCAGTTGAAACAATCACTGTTGTAAACAAAATATACTTAAAACTAATTTAAGATGCTTGTTCTGATATTTCATTTGGGACCATTTTCCATTTCTGTATCCATTATTATCATAAAACCTATATTTTGGACATGCCAATGTATTCTCTCAATCTAATTGTCCATCATTCATTTTTATGTGAAGATTAACTGTCTCTATTAAAATAAACTTTACACATGAAAATTAAACCTTGGTGTGTATATTAATTGTAAGATACTTGTTTTAGAGAATTCATGCTGATTTTAATAAATCAAGGACCATAATTACTAACTGGTGCTGTTTTATATGGCATTCCAAAAAGCCAGAACACATAATGTTTATGAAAATGAAAATGTGCTTTAGGAAACTCAGCAAGCTCTTTTAAGTAAATTAGACCATATTTCAAAGAAAATTATAATTTATTAGACTAGAACACTATGCTGTTTTTACTGATATATACTGATATATATATATATGCAATTGCCCTGATTCTTTCAATGAACATTAATATGGAACATTTGGAATGCCCAAAATATGGTCGGGAGCAAAAAAAATATGTCTTTTAGATTTCTTTGTAAGTAAACTACTCCATTCCTTTTATCAATGTTGTAGCCTGCCTCTGCACTTTTTCTAGTTCCATAATATCTTTCTTTAGAACAGGTGTGGACTTACCAGTGATTTATAATGAGGCAAAATTATATTTTCATCCCAAGAATGAATGCCCTTATTTATACATGACAATATCATACTGGCTATAGCAACTGCCGAATGATATTGCATATTGTTGCCTAGTTTGTTGTCTATATTCCCAAATCCTTCTCATGGGTGGGCTGAGCCGCCGAGCCGGCTGGCAGCCAATTTTTGCAGCTCATCAATCAGCTCCCAAAATTAGCCCAAAAGACGCAGACATTTACAGCTACCAGATCACCAGATTCGGATGGGGCAACCCGCCAGCTCAAATTGATGCAGATCTGGAGTGAAACGCTTTGGATAAGGGGAGCCATTAGAGGTTTGGGCCTGCTCATAGACTCAAACACAATACACTACAGCACAGGAAGCATGGAGAGAACACTCCATTCAGAGGCACAGAGCCTTGGCAGTCACGAATGCTGCAACAATGCTTCCCCAATCCAGATGGATATACCATGTGACGGACCTCCTGGCACCCCAACTTGGTACCTCCGTCAATCGCTGCTTCTTAGTAATCCTTGAGTACCATAAGCACCACACCGGACACCATAAACACCGTAAACCCCACAAACCGTTGGTTGGGTTCTCGCTGTCCTCCACCCACTCTGGACCCAAGACCAGGATCCAGCTTCTGGAGTACAAAAGACATTAGGAATACGAATGGAGCTGTTCGTGTGTATGCATGCCTTGTGTCCCGCGTTTGGAGTTTGCTCCCACCGCTCCTCTTATACAAACGCCACCAAACATACTTGGAGATGGAAGTCCCAGCAGTGTTCGAGCCGTTGAGTGTCCGACTTGGGTTTCATACACTCAACGACCAAGCACCGCTATACACATTCTTGGGAACAAGATGGCTGCCACCTCTTGTTCCCGCCACGGTGGCCACCCAGCCGACCATTTAGAATGTTGCAATTAATGAGGTCAATAAGGTTAACAAGCGACACACTCCACTTCCAGGTGGTCTAACTGTTCGGTAGTTGGTTCGGCATACGAACAGCATAAGCATAATCTGTTCGGTAAGCCCCATATACCAAACCATATAGAGAACAGGCACAAACAAAGCCTTTCCATACTCCTGAACCAAAGTGTAACACATGGGCAATAGTCCTGAGGTATGGGCTACCCAGCAGGCCCCTACAAGAAAGTGTGACGAGGTTGAGTTCCTCACATACTATAACTATATAATAACTAATTTTAATGATTATGTATATATATTATAATTATGAATATATTTTTTTACCTTTCCTTAAACATAAATAAATATAGATACACCTAAACTTCTCTACATCATAGAGATAAATAAAGAACAGTGAACAGACAGGATACCTCCGCAGACACTGCACACCATTGGACAATATAGAATATGTGACAGACGTCTGTGAATCAGAGATGGTAATGTTCACTGAGGGGAGTAATTATACACAAGTCTCATATAGAATGTATAACGATATATCAGGAGGGACCTAGATTTACATTTGATATTATGTTGCCCTCAGAGAGTTAAATCCCATTTATTATGATAAAAATGATATAAGAAAATATATAGTGATAGTACTGCAAGTGAGTGTGATTTCATCTGAGCAATCATAAAATACACACATGAATCAGAGGAGGCAGAGCTAATCAAGATGATGCTATTGGTGTCCACCCTCTATGTGATGTGTCAAACTTTGGTTGGCCATCTCCTCATGCTCCCACGTGGGATCTGCAGTTTAAAAGAGGATCAGAGTCAGTGTCACCTTGGCCCCTGACAAAGGTGCACACGAGGCTTCACCAAAGAGCAGTCGGATTTCTCTGTCTTTTGATTTCTTTTGGTATGGGCACGTTAGTTCGCAGTTTCTTTTTCACAAATTTAAACATGATTGCATGTGGTCCTAATTTAGCGACCTACCTGTTTTATGACGGCTTGCATTTATGACCAGGCATAAATTCCCTGAACATAGACGAATGCACGAGAGCAGTGAATCCCTTTAATCTATGTTCAGGGAAATTTCCCTGAGCATATATTAGAGGGATTCCCTGCTCTGGTGCGTTCGTCTATTTTCGGGGATGTTTCCCAGAACATAGACGAACGCACCAGAGCAGGGAATCCCTTAACTCCTCACTTACCGACCAATTTGTTCTATAAATTCTAGCTAGATTAACAGTGAAATAGGCCTTTTCTCTATATACCTATCCTATTTCTCTTATCACTTTCTAATGAATTTTGGAACACAATAAGTATGACGGAACTGTCTGTATAACCTATGTATGTGATTCCAAATTGATACTTTTAATCTCAATCAAGAATAAGGAACACTGTAACACTTAATTTATAGAGATTTGATTAGCCCTCTAACTGTTGAGCAAATACTAGACTTTTTCAGCAATATATTTGGGAGTGTATTGACAGCATTGATTTGTTGTCAATATTGCTAAAACTAGGTGTAGCGGATTGTGCATGCTACTCATCATATTCTTGTTGGCTGTCCCTACCCCTAATTGGTGAAATATTTTATTCCCTTCTCCACGGTTCAGTACCCTGAAAAAAGAGCCCATTTATACTCTATCTGTTGTGTCATTCGTCTGGTTGTTCAGTAAGGATTTACTGTGAACCATCGTGAGTTATACCATTCGACAAACGGACAAAATACTGAACAACCAGACAACCCCAGAGAGGAGTGTGGCACGACTTGACCTCCCCTATCATTATTACCCTTTACCTCAATTGACAATTACACAAACGCACTGGGTATTCCCTGGTTGGCTGCCGTTCGACAGACAAACACGTGGCAGTGGCCATCTTGCCATACGAACGCACCAGCGGTGTTTGTTCATCGAGTGTCTGGAACCCAAATCGGACACTCGACCACGCGAACACCACAGAGACCTCCATACTTCCATCTGTTTGTGGAAAAACATACGAAAGGCACGGCGTTCGGTGAAAAGATGCACACGGGGAATCATCCGAACCCAGGCAGAGCCCATTATATTAAAGCATTTTGTGCTTTCCACATCGCGAACGGAGACCGACCGCAAGGCCAAAACACATGGAACTTTCGGCTAATACCTTGTGTGCGGTCGGTAAAACGAAGACCTCCAAGAAATTCCCGAACCCCTGAACCGATCTGGGTGATTTTTAAGTATGTTGCTCACCCAGATCAGGGCTATCAGGGGATACATAATTTATGGGTGTAAGGTACAGTTTTGGGGTACATCCAGGAATTGGGTAAAAATGTGTGTTTCCAATGTACAGTTAATTATGTTATCTCCCAGGCTAAGGGGAGGGAATGTGTGGGCTGTAACCAGCTAAGGATTGAGCAATGCCTAATTTTCTGTGGGTGTCTCCCTTGCATGGGAGAATTGCATAAAAGCTAAGTATGTGGCATTAAAATTCAGTTCTACCCCTGAAACTGAGTGACGTCCAGTTGTTGGGAAAAGGTGATGGGATATTCGTGGTTTACTTTATTTACTGCTTATGCTGTTCTTCCTATGTTAACCTACTTGATCCTGAGTAACTCTTGGAATACCAGCGGAGAAAAGTCTATGTTAAACTAGCGCTCCGCTACACTAGACTTAGTTAATAGTATTTTTTGCAATTTTAAGCATAACGTTGATCCTCTAATATACTTCCTAAATGGTTAAATTGGTGGTTAGGTTTAGGAGTAGCCTCTAAGGCTAGTCTCACAGTAAGTAATATTATTTTGGAATTTGATTTATTCTGATGGAGATCCTCTCTGGTCTGATTTATATATGAGTCTTTGCTACGTTCCACATAGCATAGGATACTTTTGATAATTCCAGGTCGCACCTATCCTTGTGACAAGGAAAAGTGCCTCTTTTTTCTAATTTTCTAATTAGGGTGAGGCCCTGAGTCACCCCTGGAGTGTCTAACTAGTGTACACGTTTTGGGTAATTTGTTGATCCTCGTCTCTGCTTTAGTGTGTGTTTGTTTCTTTATATTAAAATGTTACCATTCAGGAGTACCACTCAGGAATCAAGCTA